CGCTAATAGAAAAAGATAATTATTCTTATTTTATCTTTTAAAACACTGTCTTACTTACAATAAATCGACTTTAAATCATAATACATGCCGATTCGTATGCGGTTGCCTATTGCCTAATAAAAGTTGGATGCCGATCTCGACGATTCAAAATATAATTCCTTGTACAATTCTGTTGTTGCCTTTTTTCAATAAGAGGTTATAAACTGTCTAAATATTTAATTGAATTAGTCAAATTGTCCAACTTCTCACCATATGGTCACGTAAGAGATGAAGATAAACGAAGCCCACATGCCGATCGCGATGTCAATTAAGAAATGACCATACACTTATTTTCAGGATTTTTGAAGTAAATATTGAATAATACAGAATTGTTCAAGATTGTTATAACTTTTTTTGCTTCAAAATGTTTCATTTTAAACACCAATAACATCTATATTACGTGGTTATAACTATCTTTGGGTATAATTATACGAGTGACGAATTGCAAGGCTACCGCTTGGGATTTCTATTTTTAGAGCGACTCTGAGCACTAGCGACAGTTTTCACTGGTACAGCGGCAACGATAAGTGTCGGCGGACCGAGTTCGCTCGGCGCCGGCAGCAGTCAAGCCACGGCAGGCGACCACACGCACCCGTTGCTCATTGCGGGTGTCGGTCGGAGCGAGATCCATCCCATGTCAATGTAGAAGTGTAAAATCATTTGTAGACGACTTAGTTCTTGGTCGGGGTGTCGTACCTAGTAGAGCAGCCACCACACTGCGATCTATTGAGACTAAGCCTTTCGACTAGCCAATTTGTCCGCTTCAGACGGGCATCTCGCAAAGATGGGCGCAGTGTTACGCGTGGTTTTGGGCCAGACAAGACTGAGTCGCTACTAAGGCATGGGATCTCGAGTCGTTGCCAGAGTGCAGAAGGTGACTGGGCGGACTTGAAAGACCTTGGGCACTGAGAGAGACGGGAGCTGGAGACCCTCGCCCTCCATCGTCGGTCCGCCGGCGGTGGAGGGGTAGCGCGCTTTGAGGGTGTGCTACCTAAGGGACTTGGTCTCTTTTTCTCCAATGAGTGATGCTACCTAAGGGACTTAGTCTCTTTTTCTGGAATTGGTAATGCTACCTGGTGAAAGAAATATGTAAACAAGATATCATCTCGCTGTGTGATTCGGTCACGCCATGACCTCTGACCCCCTAATATGAACATATTTTCTCTTCAATAGGTTCATCTAAGAAAAATATTTGCAAATGTAAATAAATATGTATATATTATCAAAGCTGGAGATCTATAGCTCACTGGTCTGAAAAATTTGAATACTAGTTAATACTAGTTGCGCACGGTGTTGGTACACATTGACGTTACGTCAAAATAACGTTATTGAAATCATAACGTTGTTACAACGTTTTAAACGTTATAATTGCATTGCATATTTTAGTTGTCTAATGTGAATTTCTTCTTATTTATTTTTTTTAAATCTAAATAAAATAACAGGGCACAAAATTTTCAATTATTGAATCTTCGTTGAAAATATTAAGATGTACACTAAAAAAATCTTATAATCTTACGTATAAATAAATTGTAAGATTTTTAATATGAAATTGTCACAGGCATACATATCCTCAATCATATCCTTGATTCCTCTTTCTATTTCTTTTTCCTCACTCTGTACTCTCTGTCTTGCAAAGGGAAAACAAATCAAGTAGCTTTCTATTTCAACCGTTTCTCCTTAATTTTTTTTTCCATTAGGTCATTTCAAGTTTTCTATTTCTCTAAAGCCCCGCATGCGCCTTGGTTTTGTCTTTTGACACCCAAGATCAGAGAAAAGCACAGAAAATCGGTAGTCCTTTCATGCGCAGTTCCAGGTTTTTTTCCGAAAGGGGGGGGGGGGCACACCAATCCCAAAAAATATGACTCTCAAAGTTTTTGACAAGCAAACAAAAATTATAATTAAAATCCAAAGGGGGGGGGGGGGTCCGGGCCCCCTTCCCGACCTCCCCGCCTTTTCTACGATATAGTAAATGTGCCTTTCTACGAGAAAATGGAATTTTGAAATCAAAACATTTGAATGATGTAATTTTTATGACAAGCGTTGTACAAAGTAGGATTCCCCCATAACCAGCTATACTCAATCTATACTGAAGAATGGGACTTCCCCCGAGGGGAAATCTTACACTAAAGCCTATTTTTATCCCCTTTCTTTCTCAGAGTAAGTTTTACCCTGTTTTATCAATGTTAAAATCATATCGACATTATTTAAGTTTGTATGAAAGTCGGCTGATTTTTTTAAAGGAAATATTAGTGTTTTCGCTCAAGAATTATTCAAATTTAGTGTGAAATCTTAGTATTTAAAAAAAAAAGACACAACACAAGAAGCATTGCTCTTGCAAGCCGTAGGATAGGTATGACCCCTCAACCACAGAGGTGTAATACTGGACAGCTATTTTAAACCCCAGAAACTTGGCGAGACACTTAATCGATATCATGTACATGTAGTTTGATGAAATATATAACTGGAGAAAAAAAATCCATTAAAAATAAAATTCCTCTTTTTTTTAAAATTAAATGTTGACACAGCTAGACTTTTTATTACAATTTTTGTGAAGTTTCTTTAAGATTGTCTACTGCGATGGTACCTGTGGAGAAATTATAGCAGAGAAATTTGTAACCATGTGTCGCCCCCTCCCCCCATATATAAGTACTGGCATGATATTTTATAGGAGAAGGGGTAAATTAGCTCTTCAGGGAATCGCACTTTATAACTGTTACACGGAGTAAGGATTCTCCCGGAAAATTGAATCTGGTGTGGGACTTCTGTTGGGGAAATCCCACTCAAGAGCCAGTTTAACGAGAAAGATTTTAGAATGGAAAGATCGGTATAAAGTTCTTGTTATAATATTGGGCTTTTGTACTGATATGTTTTGAAAATCGATAGATTGGCTATTGAATTATAGGATGTCGCTAAACAGAAAAAAAATTGAATGGCCTTATATTGAATTGAAGTTTTTCTTGTTTTATTTTTTTCCCAGCCCCAGTAGTTAAGCTCTCTTTATAATTGGGGGGAGGGGGGGGGGGTATTGACATGCAAAAAAGGTGGGATTTGGACGTTTCGCTTTTAAAACCCCTACCAAATTTTAAAAATTCTGGCTTATCACCAAATTCAGAAATCCTTTTACTTTTTTGGGGGGAGGGAGGTGTTCTCATTCTCATTTTTAGCAAAAAAATTGAGAACAATAACGTGATATATTTAGACATTGCTGCAACAAAATAAAAAGGGCGGGTAACCGGCCTTTGAATGAAATTTTTCAGAAAATTTAAAACAAAAGATTATTCTAAAATAATGGGAGAAGGACCTCCTACCCTACTTGGTACTACTGACCTGCAGACAACTGGAAAAAAGAGCGGCTATACTAATTTTACGTTCCCGACGTCATGTACGTATATACATAGTGTGTAAAATGACGTTTTTCGTACCTGTGACAAAATGGCTACATTTTTATTGATGCTTGCATTTATCTCATGTAGACGATTACCGTAAAAATTATGTTATTATCTAATAAAGTATGAAATGTTCTTTCAAGATACAGTAATGATTGGTATATATATGACATTAATTCATGTATTTTTTATATGTAACTAAGACAAATTAAGTTATAGTACAGCGGCTCGAATGTGCATAACAAAATATTTACGTATTAGCAGTAATATGATATGTATCAACATAACTAATTTTAGAAACATGTGTACTTAAGGATTACTCTTCAAAATTTATCTTTCTTTGGCATTTATGTCTAGTAAACATCGCCATGTGGGTTAATGTCAGCGTTAGGAAACGATTTTTTTCTGTTGGACATTTTACTTACGCACTGTAGATTCAGCCCAAACTCGTGAAATTGAGAAAATGATGTTAAAAATTCAACAATATCACAAAGAATGCATACATATTGTATTTCCTAAATTGCATTTAATTTAGAGGATTGGAAGTGGATCTCTTTATATCTTGTAGCTGCGCGAACAATAATTCATGTAACGTTGGACACGGGAATTTCGACGTAATAACCAATAATGAATAAAGCCATATTATAACTAAAAGATTTTTAGATTATTAAAATGAGAATTTTTAGAATAATTTATTACCTTGGATAATTAATTTCATTTTTAATTTCTAGTAGCTTTAACATCTTGAAAACGCCAGTTTCTTTACGACATCTAAAGAGTCAGATTTTACAGTACCAACACCGTGCGCTACTTAGATGACCAGAGAGCTACAGGGAGTGAGTGCCACCTACTGAAAAAAAAGTATATTTATTGTGCACAAAAAAAGTGTGCTATTTTTCAATTTATTTTTCGGTATATTTAAATTGCCACCTCAATTATTACTAACCGTGTGATCTTTTAACATATATATTATTTTTAATATTTCCATAACAAAATATTACCTTAAACCCTTACCCTTAAACATTATTAATATCCTGGTCCTGAAATTTTGAGACCATTGAAAGTTTTGCTAATATTTTTACTGCTATTTTTGGTGGCAAGACAGTTTGGTCAAATTTGCTTCATGCAAATGACAAATACCAGAGTAGTTGAAAGAGGTCTAAGGAACTTTTTGAAATTGAGCTTTTATGCAGTTGAGGTAAGAATTTGGAGAAATAAATAGAGAACTGAGCACAACTTGTTGTGCGCAGTAATTGTACAGTTTCTTTTTATGGGTGGAACTGAAGCTCTCCTGTCCATTAATATATATATATATATATATATTTGAGAGCTACAATTATCTATAATCGGGGAAAGTAAGCATTCAAGAGAGGAATATGAATTTAAGACTTTTTTCTGTTTTCTTTTAAAAATGTATATTGATAAAGTATAGATCAAATCAACCATTTTGATAAACTAAAAATACTATAAGAATGATACACAGAATTTAATTTATAAGGTTGATAAGTGACATTGTAAAAGTTTCCAAAGAATTCTAGCTATCATAAAATTTCTAAGGAGTTGTTGTCTTTGCAGTGTGTTTCTATATCCTAAAAATGTAGCATCAAATCCAGGATTGTCCGAGGAGAATGGTACAACAGAAGGGAATGATGGGAAATATGAATTGTTCACTCAGGTTGACAAACAAATAAAAGAGGGAATACAAAGTCTTATAGATAACTGTAAGTTAGTCATGTAAATTTTGTTTGTGTTTTGTTATGACTTGTTTATTGAATAATAAGGTGAACTAAGACTTGATTATATGTAAATGCACATTCTAACTGCTTTTGACATACTGTAATTATTTGTTACATATTAATACCCAGTGGCGGATCCAGAAGTTCATGTGGGGGGGGGGGGGGGGGTTGAGGCCCATAGGGCTGAAGGGGGAGGGCATGGGAGGGGGTGTCCCCCTCCCATAGGTGGGGGTTCGGGGGGAAATTTTCTTGAGAAATTGCTCCAAATGGTGCATTTTCCAGCATTTTACATTGAATTAGTTAGTGATTTGTCACTTTTTTTTCTTCTAGTTTTTCAAGATCGACCTACCCAAATTTTCAAGAATTTGAACCAAAAATTAAAAATTTTGGGATTATTTTTAACTTCCATGTAAACATGAAAAATGAGACTTTTCTTTTTAGTCCAGTCAAATGGTCATAAACCTTAAACAAATTGCAACAGATTTTTTTTCTTTATTTATAAATAGTAAATTGTATTATAATCAACATATTAAAACTCTAGAAAAATATATAAAGGCGAAAGATGTGTTTTTCAGAAATAAATATTTACTGGTCTGATAAAATATGTATTGCAGAAATGTGCTACCATATGCACCAAGGCAGACAATTTTAACCACTGTAAACAAACTACTTTCTTCTTAAACAAGCATTCTGAGAGTATTGCATTAGCAATACTAGTCCCCTACCGGCAAGTGTAATCTGGTTCCCGTTAAAAATTGAAAATGTTATAATTCCGTCAAAAATTAATGAAGCGGGACGAAATGCAAACTTGCTCTATAACTAATCAAGGTAAAGTCACATACCAAAAATCAGCTCAATATCTGCAAGCGTTTAGAAGAAAATTGCGGAAAACCCCTAAAAATTGAAAAGGTCGTAATTCCGTCAAAAATCAATGAAGCGGAACGAAATGCAAACTTGATCTGTAACTCATCAAGATACACTCACATACCAAAAATCAGCTCAAAATCTGCAAGCGTTCAGGAAAAAAGTGCGGAAAACCAAGTGGGACAGACTGACAGACAGACAGAGGGACAGACAGACAGACGGACAGACAGACAGACAGACGGACGGACAGACTCAGAGGAAACCTATAGTCCCCTCCGGTTTCACCGGTAGGGGACTAACAAGCATAATAAAATTTATAATTCATTTTGTATACATGCTTAGGTTTAAATTTCAGCAATACACTGAAGATATAAGATCTGAGAATCTTATATATGTCTAAACTTAACGATATAATGTTGAAATCTTAGTATATTATCTGTATCACAATTTTTAAGCATGTAGGAACCTTTATATCAAAATATTGGTCTACGAATCACAAGAAATTATATATTAATCATGTATTTCTGTAAAAATTCAATCTTCCAATAACTCAATAACTCATGCACATATATAAATTAGTATTTACTTCTCTTTTATTATTAGATACTGGAAACATTAGGGGAAATAATCTATGGAAAGTGGTATTGCAACGTAAAAATATTTTATTATCTAAAAGTTATATTTTGGTGTATGACCTTGTAAAGATTTTTTTTTAGAATGTTGATTATATTAGTGAGATCTACTTTGCTATTTAAAAAAAAAATAGATTGGCCATCTTTAAAAAAAATTGTTTGATTGCCCTCTCCCGACTGACTAAAAATGGCCCGACTCAAAACTTTTTTTTATATTCAAGGACATCATATTTTTTTTTCTTTTTATTCCTCTTATCCTGTCAATAAATATGTTGAAATTGTCTAGAAAAAAAGATTTTCCCACCTACCTACCGACTTAATGATTTTACCCTGAATCAGGAGAGGGGAAACAAACAATATCTTAAAGAAGGCCTTATTCTTGATCGTTTTTGGGTGTGTGCATATTCACTATAATGATGCTTACTATGTACAGTATATTTTATTGTAATTTGTAAACATATTTCGTAAACATTATATTTGTGTCACTTTGATTCACATTTCGCTTCTAGTTTGTTCTTAACATAACCCCGGAGCCAAGAAGGGTCACACAAGGGATTTAAATTTACAGGAAGTCTTTGAAATAAGCCGCATTGTGGAATTTTTGTATTTTTTTTAACACATCCTATTATGTAATAGATTTGTGCATTTCAGCTTTTTAAAAACTACACAACATTATCAACTTATTTCCAAGTAGCATCCTAAATACACCTGCCTACAAATGTATATAAGAAAAGTTTTTTAAAGTACTATTTTCCTATCACGATAAGTGAAAATTATCACTTAAAAGAGCGTAGAAAATGATCAGATAGGTAATTTAATTGTCATAAGAATGACTCTAAGCCTCTATAAGCAGCGCTAGTGAAGATTGGTTGATTGTATGTTTTACGCCCCGTTCGAGAACTTTTCACTTATATAGAAACGTCATCATATACTGGCAAAGGGCTTGAAATTTATACCTTTACTCGGCTCTTAGGGTCATTGAGCAGTGAGGGTTCTTTATCATGCCAATGCCAACATGTACCGTGATGTGGGGCCTTGGTTTTTAAAGTCTCATCCGAAAGACCTGCAACGCTTACTTCAAAGTGCCGAGAACTTAATTAATAATGTGATATCCCCCCCCCCCCAACACACACACACACACACAAATTACAAAATAAATCCAAAGGAGATATAAAAACTAGCAACGAACATTATATTGAATATAAAAAGAACCAATTTGAATACTATTGAGGTTGACATTTAGGTGAAGAACCAGTTCCAGTTTCAAGATTATCATTCATTTATTTTTTAGGTATTCTGTGGCACCTTCAATGGATTTTTATGATTTTTCTTTTATTTCTTTAACCTTTCAAATAAAAGCAATGGGGAAAAATCTGACTTTTAGGATTTCAATCAAGTGTTACGCATCCATAGTTATGACGTATTTCAGACGAATGTCCTATGCATGCATTGCTATAAAGGGAAATATGTCGGGAAGGGGGGGGGGCTGACCCCCCTCCCCCTGAGATTTTCAAGAGTTAAAAGGTTCTATGTAAAAGTAACAAAGACATGTCCATGAACCCATTTCTCAGGACACTTATTAAAATGGCTACAAGTCATGTGCATTATGAACCCCTTCCCCAGGACACTCATTTAAAAGACAAGAAGTAAATGTGTATTATGACCCCCCCCCCCTTTCTCCCCTGAAAAAGGTTTTTAAGTTTGAGGTAATTAATTTTATTTATTTATTTTTATTTCTTTTTACTTATTTGTTTATCTATTTATTTGTATTTGCTTGTCAGAAAAATTTCGAGACTTAACATCTGTGATATTTTATATGAACCCCCCCCCCCCCATCACCCACCCCCGATAAAAATTCCTGGGATGTGTGTGCTTAATTGTCCCCCTATATATATATATATTTTAAAAATTATCTTAACTAATAAAACTTGTCATTCCTACCATGCCTACATATTCTTTGTCCCTGCACAAAGTCATATTGAGGAATTGGAATAGTTTTACTTTCAATTATGTCCGTTGCCATGGGAACAGGAATCCATAGCAATTAATGAAATAATTACCAGTTTCAGTTTGAACACGCATTTCTGCATGACCTACCAAGAAAATTCAAGATCATATAGATGGCAGAACTATTTTTATGCATATACAGAATGTCTTTTTAAACAGTGATTTATCGACATTTTTGAACAAAAATCGGGTTTTTTGAAAACTGAAAAAAAAAGATGTTTGGACAAATATATTTTTCTAGAGTTTTGATATATCAAAAGGCACATTATAAATAACAAAATTCTACTGGAATAATTTCTGTTGCAATTTGTTTAAGGTTAGGGTGTTTTAGGACTAGAATGACTGGACTATTTAAAAAAAAAAATAAATGTAAAATCTGATAAAATATCTCTATTTGATAAATAATATCCAATTCTTCATTTTAAAATGCACGCCCAATGTGTCGCATGTGAAGCCCTGACTACCAAAGTACAACTGATGTGCAATTTCTCAACACTTGGAAATTAGAAAATTTGGATTCTGTGTAGAAACCCTAATAACTCTTTTCAACTACTTGACTATACTGTTCATATAAACTGAATTATAAACATTAATGATATTTCATATTGAAGAATAAATATAAAATATTTTGGGAAATTGTTGGAATTATTGCTTATTCATGGGGTGGGGGGTAAATTATAATTTCTATCACTCTTTAATTAATTCTATTTTTTCCTACCCACTTACCAGCCCAATGTTTGGGAAAAAAGTCTTGAAAACCAGTCAATAAAAAAGTGGCCAATTGTTGTTTTAACAGGACCGGACCTCTGCTTTATACATATCAGTTTTATCACAATTCATTATACAAATAATAATAACTATCACCGTTTATTCAATAAAGTATCAATTACCGAAGAAAGAAGAAAAAATCTTGAAAGAATGTTACTTTATTAATTCCAACACAATACGGTAATAACTCTGTGCAGTTTTGATCTTGTGTCATCACTAGCTGCACGGACTATCATGATCTCTGTAGGGTTGATTACCTGTGTATTGTGTGCGTTCAAGCGGAAAGGGGTTTCTGGTGGTGGCTATATATTTCACCTCTGTGTGAACAATGGGCTTGGATAGACTCTTATTTATGAAATATATTGTTAAAATGACAGTTGTAAAAAAAAATTTTTTTTTGATTGGGCGGGGGGGGGTTTTCCCGAACCCCCCCCAAACCCCCCTGAATCCGCCACTGATACCATTGGATGTCACATTGTTTGCATACATTGTACTTAAGGCTTATACCTTATTTATAATATGTACAATCATCACAAACCACAATTTTGAGTCCACAAGCTCCCTCAGTAGATAGAGAGAATTGATGTGAAGCACCATGGGTTTCTGACGATGAACATGTAACTGATACACTTCTTTCTCAACAGGTATGAATGGACAGCTCTATCCAGACTCTCTGATAGCTGGAGCAATGACTATGGCACTGTGTTGTATCCTTTATTTAGTGTCAACTGTAGAAACATGTTCAACTTAGAACTGTTCAACTGTAGAAATACATGTTCAACTTACAATCTAGTCCGAAATATCTGAGGTTTTCCAGGCTTTTTCACGATTTTGATATTTTACGTGCCAGGAAAACGTCAGAACCGGCGCCATTACAAAAACTGGAAATTCGCCGCCTCCAACTGGAGGCGGCATTCTCGGGTTGATTTTCGATACTTGCTAACCAAATTAAATGCTGAATTCACAACTTATCAGTAGTACAATGCCTTTAGTACTCACCAACATCGTTTATATGGGTTTGTTTATGAAATATACAATTTGGTGAAAACATTTTATCAGAGGGTCGAGTTTTCTTTTCATTTCGTGCATTTTAAATTCTTGCAAGACCAAATCGAAATGTGGAGTGATATTTTCTTTTCATCGATATTGGTGAGTACTAGAAGCATTGTGGTACTGATAAATAGTAAGTTCGGCATTTAATTCAGTTTGCAAGTATCGAAAATCAGCTCCGGTTGGAGACGGTGAAATTTCCAGTTTTCGTAATGGCGCCGGTTCTGACATTTTCCTGGCATGTGAAATATCAAAATCGTGAAAAAAGCCTGGAAAACGTCAGATATTTCGGACTACTTACAATCAGATTACTCACCTTTCTAGTTTTCAGTAACAAAAGTGAAATAGACTTGCAATAGCAACATTTGGTCAGTATTAAAACAAGGAAAATTTAGACCACATTTTCAGTTCAATTGAACCTAAAGCTTTCGACTGAAGTGTCAGGTATCCATCCTTAAAAACATGGGCCTTTGACTTAAGACATGGTCACACTAAAGAAACAAAGTTTTTCACAGAAATACATGTACATGAGGCTTTGGGAAGATCAAAAAAGCTAGCATTTGACATCAAGCTTCAATACCTACATGTATATACTGTGTGGACTTAAAAGAGTTAGGTAACTTATGTGAGCATTGTGGTTCATGGGCCTTTTAATCTTTATTGTATGGTTCTTGACAAAGTAAGATATCAACAAAGCAGAGAAAAGTCATGAAGAATCAGGAATTCTTTCAAGTCGAATTCTGGTAAATCTTCCACTAGCTAGCACACATGTATTTGATTCTACAAGTTTGTCAGTAATGAGTACATGTAGTTCAAACAATATTGTCATTTCACCAGCACTGTCAACATTAATTTTTTTAGGTGATAAAAGGATCTGAGGACAACACAGAGCAGTATATGAATTTGATGAACGCTGTGTTCACAGCCCAGAAACAGGTACAGTGTTCACAGCCAAGAAACGTATACAGCACTGCAAGATAGGATAATGATTATAGATATGCATGTAATTATGATATAAGTTTAAAAATGATAAGCCAGTAATATTTTTAAAAAATGATAGTAATCATTTATTTGTCACTTGATCCTCGTAACTCTGTTGCAGAATGTGGTCATTGATGCCTGTATTCTGGACAATGATTCTGGTCTGTTGCAACAGGTGAAGATTTTTTTTAAATATTTTTTTTTAAATTATTTACCTGGTATTACAAAGGAAAATTCTTGATATTTTTTTAAAATTAATTTTTTTCAAAATGGTAAAAATTTTATAATATATTGAAAGCCAGTTCACATGCTAGTTATTTAAACTTGAAAAAAAACTCTCACTGTAATATTCTTATCAAACAGGCTCTAAATTTATTGCTGTGATTGTCACCTACAGCAGAAGAAGTAAAATAAAACTATGACATCCTGATTTAGTAGACATCTGCCTTTTATATTTTAGGCATGTGATATAACAGGGGGCATTTACCTTAAGATTCCTCAGATGAAAGGACTGCTGCAGTACTTACTGGTTTGTAGAATACTGTAAAATCACATATTCTCATGGATTCAAATTTTATGGTTTGAGGAAAAAATATTAGTTACTAGGGATTTGATTCATGGATGAAGAATTTTTCAATAGTTCAATACATGAAATTGTACATTTTGTAATGGACTTGATTTCAAGTGTCTCTTCATACCTCGAAAACAAGGAAAATTAATCCTCCACAAAAATATTTAAGTGATCTCACCGTACTCAATTATTCACATAGAATTATTTTTATATCTAAGCCATCCATTCTTGTATATTCTGAGTATTTATTGGAATATAATCAAAAACCTTTGTACAAGCTTGTGCCTGCATGTATTTTGGCAGAAATTTAACAAGTCTTTTTAATCCAGGTGTATTTAATGTTGACGGTTAATTATACATGTACATTTATGATAAGGCGCTATCTTTTACTACAGTGGGTATTCCTCCCTGACCCCCTGGAAAGACCTAAATTGACTTTACCCCCAAAAGTCCAAGTGGACTACAGAGCTGCCTGTTTTTGTCATAGGAATCTCATAGACATTGGATATGTATGCTCAGTCTGTCTTTCTAGTAGGTTTGGTTTACGTTCATATCAAATGACTTCTTTTAACTTCTTTTCAAACTCTCTTATATGTTACCAAGAGTAAAAATGTGAATGGATTTTAGAGATTTTTGAATACCAGTATACTTTTATTCTTTTCTTTTTTTAGCATTTTTAAAGTACTTTTTTTGTTTTTAGTATTTTGTGCATTCAGTCCAATATGTGGAACTTGTCAGTGAGTACTCACTTCCTTTTTTTAAAGTAATTAAAAAAAACTGCAGTGTAATATAAAAAAAAAAGAAAGGAATGCTGAATTTGCCTTAAAAAAAAAATAATATAGAAAATGTTAGTATATCAATGGGTCATATTATGGCATGGTTTGCTCAGTGTGTCTATAATGGCTATAAATGATAAATGCATTGTTCTTTTTTTTTTCTTTTTTTTTTTTTATAGAACAACATTCAAGATATTTGGTCCTCCAAAAGGTGTGAAGAAGAAATCCAAAAAGCCACTGTGATAGTGTTTAGAACATGTACTCTCATAGATTATTTAATGTGTTCAAATTGTAGCTTTATGCACTGTATTTAAAGGTATCTTAATCATTCAGGTGACATTGCTATTTGCTCTTATCTTCATTGTGCAAACGTGTGTCCATATATTTGGCATTTTTAATTGCATCAGTAAGGCATGTGTGCACTACTTATAAAATTTTTCACTTAAGGGGGCTGTTATTTTACAATCTATAATGATGCCATCTTCAAACTTGTTTTCGCTCTGTCTAATTCCATATGTTGGCACAACAAAGTGATTTTTTGGCACAGTTAAGAATAATTTCACTTTCTTCCGGTTAAATTATAGATTTTAACTTCTCATTACTTATGATACTCGGGTGACTACTAGGACTTATTGAGCCTCTTCATATTCTGTACATGTTTTTGTCTTATATGTGTATTTTTATATAAACATGCATATAAATTTTGTGTAAACAGTGAGTTGGTGTCAATTTTCTTTGAATTATCCTTAATTTTTGAAATATAATTGGATAATACAGTGTCTGGAATACAGTGCATTAAAGTCTATTAGCATCCATGCAGAGAGTCCTTATGACTTTAGAACAACTAGCCACCAGTACAAAATATCAGAACTTCTGATCAGTACTTTATTGGAAGAAGAAGAAATAATTGCATCTATCAACCATGCAGATTTTGTCATCAATGATTCAGCTTAGAATATTATTTAAATTTATACAACATGTACAGAATGGAAACTGGAAAACTGGGGAAAAAAATGAAAATTTTACTGGAAATGAATTCTTTGCTGAATATCATACATATTTTTCTAAATAAAAGTGATTTTTTATTATAGCCATAATATCTGCAGTCACCACAAAAAAAGATAAAAACGTGATGATTTATCTATCTATCTATCTATATATATATATATAAATCAGTGCTTTGATGTGTGACAGGTATGGGCCTCCATAAATTTTGCGACAAGTATTTCCGGTAGGAGTAACCCGGAAGCTAGCAACACGTAAACAAAAAACAACATGTTCTGTATATCGTCACTTTCAGTTTCGTGTTTACATGTGGATAGAATATTATAATAAGTAGCCCAGGTCTTCTAAACGAATCATCTGCTACTGTGGCGAAAAATGACGACCAAATAAAGATGATAAAATTTCGTGTCGTTGTTCGTTTTCTTTGCCTGGGCATTTTCTTGTTTTCCACTTTCACCGTAACAGTTTCGTGGCAATCACTGACCTCGCTAGTTTTATTCATAGGTAAGTATTTTAAAAAGATTAGAAAATTTTTTTTAGTTTGATTATTTACTTTTAATTTACTACTTTAAAAAAGTTTTACTGTTGTGCCGTTTGTTATATAGAATATACATACTATGTATTCTGCATGTTTTGGACAGAAGTGGATTAATTCACATTTACTTGAATTGAATATATTTTATTGCAATATATATACAATGGGATTGGGCACAAGTTCTTAAAACTTATTTCGCCCTCTCCCTACATGAGAAGTCTATAAAGTTTATTTACTTCTGTAGTTTCTTGAGAACCCTTAAGTGGAAAATATACGCATGACTATGAGATTGATTTGAAAATTGAAATATTCTCAAAGACAAGTCACTTTCATAAGCAAAAGAAAAAATCTCAATAAGGCTTATCTGTGGTCCCCGGTTACTCGTCAAATTTCGAACATTTATTAAAATTTTTAAAAATTAAATTTTATTTTTAACTAATGTCTTTATTATTTGAATCATCATCTAAAATTGTCAAACAATAGATATAGGCAGCATACGAAGCTGCGCGTTGAAGGTAGGGTCCTTTGATTTTCATGAATATCAAAATCAGTGACAGGACTGTACACACTTAAAAGCTTTCCTAAACACCGAGCACAGGTTTGTTCAGAGTCGAGTTTGAAATATATGTGTAGATGTTAAGTGAAAATATCTTTGTTGAACAACCCTGTGCTCTATGTTTTCTAATTAAAAGTATTAAGATTTTGAATCTCTTCGCAGCGGCAAAAAAAAAAAAGTTTAAAAAAAAAAAGGCTAGACTTAAGAGAGCATTTCTTTTATTCTCATATTCTTAAATATTTTGTTTTCTTTGATATGAATCAAAATTAACAATCAGTAATTAAGTCGAAGGACTTTCGCAAAGTTACTTGTTGCTGTTTCTTTTTTTTTATCAAATGATTAGTTTGGGTATGCGCAAAAGATCCAAAAGAAATGAACACTCCTTTTTGACTGATGAGTGGATTTTTTTGTTTGCAAGAGAATTTATACTGTTTACCATAATAAGAATTTAACTGCATTTTATTGCACTGCACTGCAATGCAATATCAATCAACAAAATGAAGTCCATTTTTTGTTTTACATTATGGTATTGAAAATAAGGTGTAAATCAACATATTTAATAGTTTTCTAATAAATTTTTATTTTTAAAAAAGTGTTGAAAAAAGGACTGGATGGAATATTTTCATTCACATTTTCTTATATGATTCTTCTCTTTCATATGAATCTAAATTAACAATGCAGTAATAATGTCGAAGGATTGTTGGACAAATTTTTTCATTGCTGTTTATTATTTTATGCAACGCCTAGTTTGGGTATATGAAAGATTGAAAATGAGAGAAATCTCATGTTTGACTGATGAGTGTAAATTTTGAGAGTGATGCAGATAAGCACCAGGAAGGATAAACAGAATATATTCTGATAACAGTACTTAGAGCTAAGTTCTCATCAAAGAACAGTTATACTTTTGCTGATTTTTTTTTTTTATTGAAAGACTGATATGGATATATGCGAAACATCCCGAGGAAAATTGGAGTGTCGAGTGAAGTTCTTTAATTGCAAGCTAATTAATTTTGCTTTTAAATAAAAATATAATTGTCCTACAATACATTGTAATGCTTGATGTATTGTCTAATTAAAACATACTTGGTCAATTTTTATTATTAGGCAAAACAGTGAGAAAAAAAAATATAAACTTTCCTGTTTGACTGATGAGTGAATATTTTGAGACTCAAACAAAGCGCCGATGACTTTGTAGAACAATCAAAGACACTTTTCAATACTGCTTAGCAGTAATTGTTTAGTGAGATAAGCTCACACTAAGTCCTTTACACGCGACATTACCGTTATTTACTCAGACTTTAACACATGGTCATTGTGAATGTCTGCCTAACGTCTTATATATAGTATACAAGCCTGTTACTCGTTAGCATTGCTTAAACATTTACATAAGATAAAGCAGAAATCAATGATCGTTTTGTCTACGTTGTTCAAAGGGACATAATTTGAGTTATCGAACTTTGAAACAAATCTTACATTATGCAAATTTCCAAAGAAACATTCAATCACAAGGACAAATTGTATATAAAAGCTGTCTTTGGAGGGTGGATGGTGGGGGAATATTTCTAACACACTGACAAGTAAAATAATTGTACTTGTTTAAATACAAGTAGAAGTGCACCATACTGCACTCTGCTGCAATACAATGCGATATATTGTGATGCCTGCCAAATTGTGCAATCAAAAGTAACTTAGTCAATTTTTTTTTCTTAATTGAATTAAAAAACTGATTGAATACACACACTTTTTTTTTTCATTTTATGCTGTGAAAAAAAAAGGTTTCAAAAATAGGCTAGAGAACATTTCTTTTATTGTCACATTCTTAAATATTTGTTTTCCTTGATATAAATCAAAATTAACAATCAGTAATTAAGTCGAAGGACTTTCGCAAAGTTACGTGTTGCTGGTTTTTTTATCGAATGACTAGTTTGGGTATGCGCAAGTAGAACTGCACCATACTGCACACTGCTGCAATACAATGTGATACATTGTGATGCCTGCCAAATTGTCCAATCAAAATTAACTTAGTCAATTTTTTTTCTTAATTGAATTGAAAAACTGATTGAATACACACACTTTTTTTTCATTTCATGCTTTGAAAAAAAAAGTTTCAAAAAAAGAAAAGAGCTAGACTTAAGAGAGCATTTCTTTTATTCTCATATTCTTAAATATTTTGTTTTCTTTGATATGAATCAAAATTAACAATCAGTAATTAAGTCGAAGGACTTTCGCAAAGTTACTTGTTGCTGTTTCTTTTTTTTATCAAATGATTAGTTTGGGTATGCGCAAAAGATGCAAAAGAAATGAACACTCCTTTTTGACTGATGAGTGGATTTTTTTGTTTGCAAGAGAATTTATACTGTTTACCATAATAAGAATTTAACTGCATTTTATTGCACTGCACTGCAATGCAATATCAATCAACAAAATGAAGTCCATTTTTTGTTTTACATTATGGTATTGAAAATAATTTAGGTGTAAATCAACATATTTAATAGTTTTCTAATAAATTTTTATTTTTAAAAAAGTGTTGAAAAAAGGACTGGATGGAATATTTTCATTCACATTTTCTTATATGATTCTTCTCTTTCATATGAATCTAAATTAACAATGCAGTAATAATGTCGAAGGATTGTTGGACAAATTTTTTCATTGCTGTTTATTATTTTATGCAACGCCTAGTTTGGGTATATGAAAGATTGAAAATGAGAGAAATCTCATGTTTGACTGATGAGTGTAAATTTTGAGAGTGATGCAGATAAGCACCAGGAAGGATAAACAGAATATATTCTGATAACAGTACTTAGAGCTAAGTTCTCATCAAAGAACAGTTATACTTTTGCTGATTTTTTTTTATTATTGAAAGACTGATATGGATATATGCGAAACATCCCGAGGAAAATTGGAGTGTCGAGTGAAGTTCTTTAATTGCAAGCTAATTAATTTTGCTTTTAAATAAAAATATAACTGTCCTACAATACATTGCATTGTAATGCTTGATGTATTGTCTAATTAAAACATACTTGGTCAATTTTTATTATTAGGCAAAACAGTGAGAAAAAAAAATATAAACTTTCCTGTTTGACTGATGAGTGAATATTTTGAGACTCAAACAAAGCGCTGATGACTTTGTTAAGAACAATCAAAGACACTTTTCAATACTGCTTAGCAGTACTTGTTTAGTGAGATAAGCTCACACTAAGTCCTTTACACGCGACATTACCGTTATTTACTCAGACTTTAACACATGGTCATTGTGAATGTCTGCCTAACGTCTTATATATAGTATACAAGCCTGTTACTCGTTAGCATTGCTTAAAAATTTACATAAGATAAAGCAGAAATCAATGATCGTTTTGTCTACGTTGTTCAAAGGGACATAATTTGAGTTATCGAACTTTGAAACAAATCTTACATTATGCAAATTTCCAAAGAAACATTCAATCACAAGGACAAATTGTATATAAAAGCTGTCTTTGGAGGGTGGATGGTGGGGAATATTTCTAACACATTGACAAGTAAAATAATTGTACTTGTTTAAATACAAGTAGAAGTGCACCATACTGCACTCTGCTGCAATACAATGCGATATATTGTGATGCCTGCCAAATTGTGCAATCAAAAGTAACTTAGTCAATTTTTTTTTCTTAATTGAATTAAAAAACTGATTGAATACACACACTTTTTTTTTCATTTTATGCTGTGAAAAAAAAAAAAAAGGTTTCAAAAATAGGCTAGAGAACATTTCTTTTATTGTCACATTCTTAAATATTTGTTTTCCTTGATATAAATCAAAATTAACAATCAGTAATTAAGTCGAAGGACTTTCGCAAAGTTACGTGTTGCTGGTTTTTTTATCGAATGACTAGTTTGGGTATGCGCAAGTAGAACTGCACCATACTGCACACTGCTGCAATACAATGTGATACATTGTGATGCCTGCCAAATTGTCCAATCAAAATTAACTTAGTCAATTTTTTTTCTTAATTGAATTGAAAAACTGATTGAATACACACACTTTTTTTTCATTTCATGCTTTGAAAAAAAAAGTTTCAAAAAAAGAAAAGAGCTAGACTTAAGAGAGCATTTCTTTTATTCTCATATTCTTAAATATTTTGTTTTCTTTGATATGAATCAAAATTAACAATCAGTAATTAAGTCGAAGGACTTTCGCAAAGTTACTTGTTGCTGTTTCTTTTTTTTATCAAATGATTAGTTTGGGTATGCGCAAAAGATGCAAAAGAAATGAACACTCCTTTTTGACTGATGAGTGGATTTTTTTGTTTGCAAGAGAATTTATACTGTTTACCATAATAAGAATTTAACTGCATTTTATTGCACTGCACTGCAATGCAATATCAATCAACAAAATGAAGTCCATTTTTTGTTTTACATTATGGTATTGAAAATAATTTA